TTATGTTGGAAGTGGTTGGTTTTGCCAGATCATTGTGTGGAACAAAGGGTGAGATCATTGTTGATATCCTTGAACACAACTTTAACATTGACTTGCAGGGGACAAGTCCTGCACGTTTGTTCTACTCTTTAGCCCCAAAGAAAGGTGGGCCTGACTGGTTTAATGAGGTCTTTGAAATTCCATTTCAGTCTTCTCAGAGAGAACGTAAATGGACTTGGCAAGATCGAATTGAGGGTGCTGGATGGAGGGAGGCTATTAAAAAAAGAAAGCTGGCACTGCAAACAAAGGAGGAAAAAGACACAATGACAAGTGATAATCCTAACAAGATACATTACAAGAGAAAAAAGAAAAATACAATGTGTTGCAGTAAGGTGATCCGTTATCCCAATTGCACGGAGATAGGTTTGGATTTGGATGTAACAAAATCCGGAGAGAAAGAAAAACTGCACTTGAGGCTATTGACCCAAGCTGTAGTGTGGGAGATAAATAAATATACAAAAGAAATAAAAAAGGACACTATTTGCCAAGCACTTGGTATGACATCCTTGACTATAACTTTGATATTAGCTCCCAACATAAAAGAAGCTGGGAGTTTTCAATAGCTGTAACGACCAAAGTCCAAGCCATGCTCAGAGGTTATGACAGATACAGTAAGGTACAAGCAACAGATCTTCGAAATTGCCATTTCTATTTGCTTCCGATGCTTCACAAAGTCATCTAGAGAAGAGCCAAAATAAGCAATGTCGGCTCTTTGGTCGTTTTGTGCGCCAAGTGAAGTACCATTCAGGTGTTAGTTGTGTTCATTTTCTCGAAGGCTACAAAACGAAACAAGAATATTGGATCCTTCGTGATGGCACAAAGGTACAAAGAGATCCTAGGAAGATTGTCCAAAACAATGGGAACCAAGTGGGTGATGGTTGTGGCAGTCCTCTCCAGGGAAACTTACAAATCAAAGAGGAGGAGTGGCATCCATGTTATGGAAATATAAAACCAAAACCGGACACAGAGGAAAAATATTGTCATCTTCATGATGATGTCAAAACGGAGTCAAACCCTGAGGACGTTGCGCATTTTGTCCCAGGTGAACCTACAGGAGCCCTTGGATATACGTTAATGACTGCATTGCCAGATTCTGAAAGACACAAAACAGAACCAGAAAATGAGAATGTCCAGTATTACATCCTGGCTGCACCACAAGGGTCCGTTACACATCCAAACACAGCTTGTAACTTAAATACAGAATGGGAGTTTGAAAATGTTGAGTATTCAGTCCCAGTGGAAACAGAAGAATCCCAGGAATACTCCATGGTTATAATAGGTCATGGCAATGAGAGCACATTAATCAAAGAAGAGGAAGATAATGTGCCTGTTGACTTATACCATTATGGTGGTCAATGAAAGTGCAGCAGGCATCTACCAGGGTTACCTACCAGGGTTAACATAAATGGTATGTGTGTTTTTCATTAGAAATGCCATTAGCTGCCTTATTGTAATGAAAATGTATTAATTGTTGGTGTAGAATGAACTTGATGATCTTGCAGTAATGTCTTAATGTCTTGCTGTAATGTATACTTTAAATATCTCACTGTAAATACAAAGACTCAAAGTGTCCACTAATATTGATGTATGATTAAAGTGTTTAAATGCATAGGGCTATTACATATTATATGTTGAAGCATTGTGAAGCATGAACAATTGTAATAATTCAATCTTCTTTATTTTATTTTTTTTGCCAGTTTGCCCACTTTTGGTAATTTCCTAAATGTGTACAAATTTGAACTTGGATATCCTGACGCTTAACTTTACTTGGCGGAAAGAAGATTATTTTGCTTTATTCTTAAACATTCTAGTCTTGTTTTCCTTCATTTGGGCATTTTGTTCATATGTCCATATTTCTTGTTTCTATTTTTATGTTTTCTCTATTTTTCAAAAAGATTTGATGAGTGACATTTTCAAGATTTTGTATATTATTATTTTGTCAGTGGTGGTGTAAATTGGTGAAGATGAGTGTTAGTACTTTATTCATAAATCTGCTAATACAACAACAATGTAGAAAGGAAAAAATACCTGTATCTTGATGGATTAGTTTGTTTTTCATTTTGATTTCACCACACATGTTTGATATAAAGAATGTTCATGCATCCTGTCTACTTCTTTGTTTTCAAATCCAATGAACACGTACTATATAGGATAGGTTTATGACTTATTTGCTTAGTGTCAATTTCTCTGATCTTTCATATTTGAGCATCACTGCTTTTAAGAGTATTTAACACACAATGTCTTATTTTAAATAATATCATATCCTGAACTCAAGCAATACAAGTTGTAGGTTGAGTGAGGTTATGACAGTTAACTTGTTGATGTAATGCATAAAATAGGCTGAAGCTGGTGCCCTACACCAGCAGCATTCTTTTAGTTTCCTTTAGGGGCAGCAAAGGCCTTCCACACTCTACACAGCTTATAAACCAGAAAGATGCTACTAACTACAGATATCTGCATCTCATTCCATTGGATTCACTCATCACATAGGCCAAATGGGGGAAAAAGGAAATGATGGAAAGGGTCTGTTTACAAAATATTGTACAACTTTAGCCAAAGCCATTTTAAAACACTTTGCATATCAGTAATACGTGTGAATAAAGCACATACAATGTTTAACAGTAATTTTTCTTTGACGAAGACTGACCATGTGAAATTATCTTCAAACAGCCGGAACACTGAGGTCAAGGGGTTGTACCTTCAAAGTTAAAGTCTTTAATTGTTACTTGGAACTGACAAATGATTACATTAGATGATTGTGACAGTAGTTAGTCAGAAATAACAGCAGTCATATCAGTATGACCCCCTGTGCTGAAACTGTATGAATCTGGTGTATGTTTATGTAACCGATGTAATTCTGATCTTCTGTGGTTCAAGAACAATGTATACCTCGTTTAAAAGGATTTTTCAATATATAATCTAGCAATGGTAATGTATAATATATACACTCATTTGCAAGCATTCAATCAAACATGCTTAAATAAACTACAGATGACATTTTCTTTTTTTGTACGTCTGTCCAGGAGAGGTAGAACTTTTAGATCTTGTACCGTACACAGCCATCTAAAATGGTCTAGGCAAGATAAAGATGAATATATTAATGGAATAAATGGAGAGAGATGGATTACCAATTATTAAACAATTAGTGTTAATCAACTATTTTTTTTTTTTTTTAAATAACTTTTACTCCAATAACGTTTATATATAGAAAAATGTAGAATCCCAGGTGTATTTTTTCAAGTTAAAGATGAAAGAAAGTAAAAACCTAATTTCACTGGTTTCACTGTATTTAAAATATTGTATTGGGTTTAACATAAAGAACATACAATACCATAAATATCCAATATGCAGAAAAAATATAATATTGAATAGGGATGCAGAGGTGGAAGAAGTACTCAGATCTTGTACTTTAGTTAAAGTAGAAGTACCAGAGTCTAGGAATACTCTGTTACAAGTAAAAGTTCTGCATTCAAAATGTTACTCAAGTAAAAATATTGGCATCAAAATATTAAAGTACCAAAAGTAAAAGTACTTGCCAATGCAAATTGGTCAATTTCCGAATCATATTATATCATATGTTTCGATTATAATTATTGATGCATTCAAGTGTAATCAAAGCTGGCAAAGGGGCAGCTAGTTTTAATCACTTTGTACACTGCAGGGTAGTTTGTGAATTTACTTCAGGTGAAACTAAAGTCTTGTTTAAGTGCTGATTATATTTCACATAATTAATCTAAGTCTAAATAGTAACTAAAGGTTCAAAATAAATGTAGGCTATGGGAGGAAAAGTACATGATTTTCGTCTGAATTCTACTGGAGTAGAACAAAGTAGCATACACTGGAAAGTACAAGTATTTCAAAATTGTACTTAAGTACAGTACTTGAGTAAATGTACTTAGTGACTTCCCACCTCTGCGTATACGTTTTTTATTGTTCGTTACGTTATCAAAACCTGAAGACTGCCATATGAGGAGCGACAAGGGGTTTTATTGTGAAAATCACATCCGGAAGTCTGAAACGTAACGCTGTGTGGGTTGAATCTTGAGACGCCCATTTCAAGTCCACCCAGCCCCGGCTGCTGGATCAGTTCATCCCTCTCCTGCAGCCAGATTTGCGAGCCTGGATGCCGGATCACCGCAGATATTCTACCGCAACAGGTAAATCACCAGGAACCAGGAGAGTCGTGTAGGGGGCGTGTCGTGTACTTGCTGCGACTGCAGCTGGACCATATTGTTCGTGGCAGCAATAATGGCAGCGTTTTCGGGTAAGAATATCTATCAATCTAACCCTGTTCATGTTGCATGAATTCAACATTACTTTAATTTAAAAAACCACGTGAGTGCAGTGAAACCTTAAATATGTATTTTGTTGAACATAAATGGGTGTTATGCCTGAAATAGCGCTGGCTGTGGAAGAGTTAGACTGGCTGTAAATCATTCAGGCTTACTTGGCCAAATCTACGTCTGTTTTGTGATATCTGTGCACAGGGCCGTATATCCACCATTGAGGTCACCGAGGTCCGGACCTCGGTCATTTTTTCCGAGCTGTGTATAACAAAACGTGTGAAATAACGGCACTAAACGGGGTTCTTTGTAGTACTTCCATTTACTGACGATGGGGGCGCTGCATAACTACGTAGCCTCGATTAAAGAAAACAGAAGAAGACGACTTGTATCAACAAACCACCGCAGCCCGGACTTGTACCGGAGCAGCGGAGGAGTGATGAGGTATCTAGAGATCTGAGTCCAGCGGGCTGCTTGTGTTTCTGTTCATCAGAACATCATATGACCAGCAGATCCTGTGTGAACGCACTACGTTAGTCAGTGGACGTCCGACAACATGCACACTAACTTATATTGCAGCTATAGGCTAAACTTTGGTTTAAATTGCGTGAATAAACTAGCTAGACATTCATCCAATGTCAGAAGGATTACCCTTTAACAAACGTTGTAATGGTTTTATTTCATTTCAATTTGAGTAAAACATTGAAGATATAACATTGTATTGTTTTCTTTTTACACTGACTCGGATATAATGAAAATACTACGTCAGTCGAAGCTCAGCGTTGGTAAGGAAGAGACAGGACAGGCAGAGAGAAAGAGAAAGTGATGGAAGTCAGGGAGGAACTGATGAATCAAGAAGACGCCCACCAGGAGCAGGTGTGAAGAGCACCAGTGTGGCGCCGCGTCTCCCCGCTAATTGTGCTAATACTTCTCTGACAACTTTCTCTCCACCCACAACCCTCTCCTGTTTTAACGTCCTGAGTGTTCATGGAAACGTGATCCTGCTTCTCCCACTCGTGTTGACGGTGGATTAAAGGAACAGATTGCAGAACAACTCAAGCGGCTCCCCAGTCTATCAGTGTTCAGTAAACAAGGGCTTCTCCTGCCTATGTGAATGCCAAAATACTATTTTAAGAAGCGAGAAAAGTGACAATAGAAAATATGGTGTTGCATTGTATTTTTGTGACTATGAGCTTTGTTTAACTTGTCAGCTATGTTTTCCTTTTTCCTCAGACTTCTTGACAACCAAATCTGTTTATGTGTTCATGTGTTTTTCTGTGTATGTGTCTGTGTGTTATCTAGTTGGAGCAGATCCACCTACAACAAGATGTCCTTAAGCTCAACACCTATGTGGCCTTGTTCAGCTTTACTCCCCAAGACAGCCATGACCTGGAGATGAGGTTAGTTTACTAAATCACTCGCTGTCAGTAGATGAAATATAGCTGACTTACTCTGACATGCTCACAGTGATCTTTTTTAAAACATGTTTTGCTCTTCAAAATGTCCTTAACTAAGGAGAAAACAAAGTATACAGAAAGGCTGAGACATTTCCTGTGTTATCAAATCATAAATTTGATGAAACCTTCTGAAGGAGAAAGATTAAATCTACCTCTGTTTCATTCATACACACGCGTATATACACACTTGATCAATGAAAGAGATCTCTTTCAGATTGATTTATTGACTACTGTTGCCTTTTGTATGTTGAGAAACATAATTGTGGCACACATACTGCCATGTGAGTCTGCAAAACAAACAAAAAACAGTGACATGCAATCGTAGCGTACTGTATGCCTGAGGGCAGTCGTACAGTGAAAGGACTTGGCACACGATCACAAACACAAAGTACACTGTTTTCTGCTGCATGTTCATTCATCAGTTTTTTCATGCCAGGACATTCAATGTTCTGTCTATTAGTGTGTCTGTGTTTCTTCCCTGTATCTTATATAATCACTCCATTGAGAGCAATAGGAGTAAAAAAACACAAGAATAGATTTAGAAAATAAACTGATTAGCTTCTTTTTTGAAGGTAAGGGTCCTCAAAGATTTCTTTCTCTGGAGTGGCCTCATTAATAAAACATGTGTTTTTGCCATGAGGGTCTATTAATATCAGTCAATCTCATGTCTTCATGAATTTATCCTGAGAGTCTTTTGAAATGTCATTTTTATTATATTATACACCAAGAAGTTCACCCAGATTTTCCCCAGAACTGTAGTAGTCAAAACCAATACTATTAGTTGAAATCAGTCCTATTCCATACCAAGGTAAAAAACAGAAAAACAAATATATGATTTGACAAAAATGCTTTGGTATTTTCATTTTTGTAGTATAAGCTGTTTTACATTGCTGTGAAAACATATATTTTAAACATCTTTATTTACAGTATGATCTACTTTACCATGACTTTTTCATGACATACTACACTATCACTTGTTTTTACATCATCATTTTTTCCTCAATTCTCAATAAAATATTGAATCATATATTTACATTTTAAATGTTTGCATTTTTATTGATTGCAGTAACACGTTAAATAAAAACACTAGGGTCAAATCAAACCATATCAATGTTACAGGGCTGACACATACTAAAACATTAACATTCACACCTAAGGACAATTTCACATCACCAATTAATGTTTTTTTTGCATAATCATTATATAGCGGGAGTAAACCGGAGTTCCCGGAGAAAACCCTGGTGGCACAGGCTGAAGTATTTGAAGGTCCTGTGGTCATCCTGCACGCTTGGTGGTTGTTTCTGAAGACTGCTGATTTTATGTGACCCCAATATCAGTCTCACCATTCTCAGATGGGTCGCTGAGAGGATCACACATTGCATCTGAAAGATCCAGGGTGCAGATGTCCATCATCTCAAAGGCCTCTGATGCATGAGGGTTGGAATACATGTTATCTTCTAGGTGAACCATTGTTACAAAGCTGTGTTCTAGGGCTTGTCCGGGCGTAATCCTAGTCTGCCCATCCAGATTGAACAACGCATTTAAGAGGTCTGAGAATGCCATCTTGTCTTCACGCATAACCTCTGACAATGTAATCTTGTCTTCAGACGTATCATAGTCATGTTCCTCTGGCTTCGCCATTACTGCAACTGTCAAATCTTTAACATCATCAAAATACCAACTTGGAAATTCTGGCTGGACACCAGACACCATCTTGTACTGAGATGGCGTCATTAGCTCCCATCCTGGAGTCAAGCCATTTGCCTTGATAAAATACTGTGAAGTGTTTATCCCAGCATCTAGCATGTGTTTTTTTGGCTGACCAAGGAGCTGGCAAATAGCTCTCATCTGGTCGTATGTAGAGTTTTGAGGGAAAAAGTTGGTATTAAAATACAATGAACCCAGGAGACATCCCAGTGACCACATGTCGATGGCTTCAGTTATAGGGAGACCCAAGGTCACCTCTGGAGCTCTATAAGAAATAGGTTGCAATTCCATACCAACCTCTGCTTCGGAAGCTGGGATGGCCAAACCGAAGTCAATTAATTTAATCCTGAAGGGCTGAGACTTGTAGTTGACAAGCATGACATTGTCCGGTTTCAGGTCCGTATGAATAATGCCAATTCCCTTCAGGGCTTCAAAAGCTACAAGTAGCTGTTGTGTGATAGGGCGGATTTCGTTCAGGGAAAATGGTTCCTGCATCTGCGAATAAAGGTCCCAAATGCTCATGTCCAGCATTTCAAAGGCTAGGCAATACTTGTCTTGGAACATGAAATTATCCATGTATCTCACTAAGTTATTCTTATCTGGGTCAAGTCCCTTGATTTTTTGAAGCATTCTCACTTCATAATTTGCATGTCTTCCGTCTTCGAGGATCTTGATTGCCGTTGTTTCAGATGTTTTCAAATTAACACACTTGGCAACTTTTCCAAAACACCCTTCTCCTACAAAGTCCAATAAAATGAAGCGTGTGGAACTGCTGTAAAGTATTGTGGGATTTTGTGCCTGAAGTGGTGCGGGTGCTGACTCGTTGTTGTGGGGTTCAGGATTGCAGGGGTCTGCCTGAGAGGTTGTGTCATTGGTAGGTCTCTCAGTGTTTGATTTGTCAGCACATCGGGAACTCTCAGGTGGTGCGGGTGCTGACTCGTTGTTGTGGGGTTCAGGATTGCAGGGGTCTGCCTGAGAGGTTGTGTCATTGGTAGGTCTCTCAGTGTTTGAATTGGCAGCACATCGGGAACTCTCAGGGGGTGAGTCACCGTCAGTTGCCTTCATGTCAGTTTCAGGGTCGCTGAGAGGATCACACATTGCATCTGAAAGATCCAGGGTGCAGATGTCCATCATCTCAAAGGCCTCTGATGCATGAGGGTTGGAATACATGTTATCTTCTAGGTGAACCATTGTTACAAAGCTGTGTTCTAGGGCTTGTCCGGGCGTAATCCTAGTCTGACCATCCAGATTGAACAACGCATTTAAGAGGTCTGAGAATGCCATCTTGTCTTCGCGCATAACATCTGACAATGTAATATTTTCTTCAGGTGTATCATAGTCATGTTCCTCTGGCTTCTCCATTACTGCAACTGTCAAATCTTTAACATCATCAAAATACCAACTTGTATATTCTGGCTCGACATCATACACCATCTTGTACTGAGATGGCGTCATTAGCTCCCATCCTGGAGTCAAGCCATTTGCCTTGATAAAATACTGTGAAGTGTTTATCCCAGAATCTAGCAGGTGTTTTTTTGGCTGTCCAAGGAGCTGGCAAATAGCTCTCATCTGGTCGTATGTAGATGCTCCAGGGAAAAACCAGATTCCAAAATACATTGCTGCCAGGAGACATCCCAGTGACCACATGTCGATGGCTTCAGTTATAGGGAGACCCAAGGTCACCTCTGGAGCTCTCAAAGGAATAGGTTGCATTTCCATACCAATCTTTGCTTTGGAAGCTGGGATGGCCAAACCGAAGTCAATTAATTTAATCCTGAAGGGCTCAGACTTGTGGTTAACAAGCATGACATTGTCCGGTTTCAGGTCCGTATGAATAATGCCAATTCCCTTCAGGGCTTCAAAAGCTACAAGTAGCTGTTGTGTGATAGGGCGGATTTCGTTCAGGGAAAATGGTTCCTGCATCTGCGAATAAAGGTCCCAAATGCTCATGTCCAGCATTTCAAAGGATAGGCAATACTTGTCTTGGAACATGAAATTATCCATGTATCTCACTAAGTTATTCTTATCTGGGTCAAGTCCCTTGATTTTTTGAAGCATTCTCACTTCATCATTTGCATCTCCTCCGTCTTCGAGGATCTTGATTGCCGTTGTTTCAGATGTTTTCAAATTAACACACTTGGCAACTTTTCCAAAACACCCTTCTCCTACAAAGTCCAATAAAATGAAGCGTGTGGAACTGCTGTAAAGTATTGTGGGATTTTGTGCCTGAAGTGGTGCGGGTGCTGACTCGTTGTTGTGGGGTTCAGGATTGCAGGGGTCTGCCTGAGAGGTTGTGTCATTGGTAGGTCTCTCAGTGTTTGAATTGGCAGCACATCGGGAACTCTCAGGGGGTGAGTCACCGTCAGTTGCCTTCATGTCAGTTTCAGGGTCGCTGAGAGGATCACACATTGCATCTGAAAGATCCAGGGTGCAGATGTCCATCATCTCAAAGGCCTCTGATGCATGAGGGTTGGAATACATGTTATCTTCTAGGTGAACCATTGTTACAAAGCTGTGTTCTAGGGCTTGTCCGGGCGTAATCCTAGTCTGCCCATCCAGATTGAACAACGCATTTAAGAGGTCTGAGAATGCCATCTTGTCTTCACGCATAACCTCTGACAATGTAATATTGTCTTCAGGTGTATCATAGTCATGTTCCTCTGGCTTCTCCATTACTGCAACTGTCAAATCTTTAACATCATCAAAAGACCAACTTGTATATTCTGGCTCGACATCAGACACCATCTTGTACTGAGATGGCGTCATTAGCTCCCATCCTGGAGTCAAGCCATTTGCCTTGATAAAATACTGTGAAGTGTTTATCCCAGAATCTAGCAGGTGTTTTTTTGGCTGTCCAAGGAGCTGGCAAATAGCTCTCATCTGGTCGTATGTAGATGCTCCAGGGAAAAACCAGATTCCAAAATACATTGCTGCCAGGAGACATCCCAGTGACCACATGTCGATGGCTTCAGTTATAGGGAGACCCAAGGTCACCTCTGGAGCTCTGAAAGGAATAGGTTGCATTTCCATACCAACCTCTGCTTCGGAAGCTGGGATGGCCAAACCGAAGTCAATTAATTTAATCCTGAAGGGCTCAGACTTGTGGTTAACAAGCATGACATTGTCCGGTTTCAGGTCCGTATGAATAATGCCAATTCCCTTCAGGGCTTCAAAAGCTACAAGTAGCTGTTGTGTGATAGGGCGGATTTCGTTCAGGGAAAATGGTTCCTGCATCTGCGAATAAAGGTCCCAAATGCTCATGTCCAGCATTTCAAAGGCTAGGCAATACTTGTCTTGGAACATGAAATTATCCATGTATCTCACTAAGTTATTCTTATCTGGGTCAAGTCCCTTGATTTTTTGAAGCATTCTCACTTCATCATTTGCATATCCTCCGTCTTCGAGGATCTTGATTGCCGTTGTTTCAGATGTTTTCAAATTAACACACTTGGCAACTTTTCCAAAAACCCCTTCTCCTACAAATTCCAATAAAATGAAGCGTGTGGAACTGCTGTGGAGTATTGTGGGATCAGGCCCATCCTTATCTGATTTTGAGCAACTCATTTTTCCTGTAAGATGTCCCAGCAGAGCAGATTTAAAGTTGGACTGTCTTCTTCCTGAGGTTATAACAATATGAAAGTGTCTGAATCCCTGAGTTCTTACTAAGGTTTGATCTTCAAAGTGAATGATGACATCATACAGTTCCATAATCGAGCCACAAGTTGATGATGTCATCGTAAGGATGTCATCATGCTTTGCTGATGTCATAATTCTAAATCTAAATCTTTCACTTGTTTTTGCTCCAAGCTTTTTGTTTTGCCATTCATGTCTTTCACTGTGATGTTATCAATGAATAATTCTGATATCTGCTTGTTTGACTTCCTATGGCACTAGCAACTTATTAACCAATTAGCTTCATTACAGTCCATACTATAACGTTATGACAAACTATACTGAATTTCATGATATGCCTATGACATTCTTTACTATGAAATTGTTATTGTGACATACAATGACAATTTGTATGACATAATATTACTTGTTACACGATATGGCTTTTTTTACAAGATACTATGCTGTGGTGTTTTTTTAATAAAATATTATACTATGAGGTTTTTCATAACAAACTATGCCCTTTTATGACTATGTACTTTTGTATGAAGTTTGCCATATGCTCTGACATTTTTGATGACATACTGATATACTGTATGGTTCGTCATATTATGGTATGTCATGAAAGAAACCTTATAAAAATGAAAAAACATATGTTAAGGAAAGTTTCACAACCTGCGATGCACGTCCACTGTCTAATGTTGCAGATCAGCCTTACATCTCTCTCTCGTCACAACAAAACAAACACAAGATATGAACCGAGAATTTGGAAAATCGTTACACCGCACGAACAATATTTTATCTTGTACAAGGACTTAATTTATTCCATTATAGTACTTCTACACATACTAGTGCGTATATGAATTCATACTAGTGCAATATTTACATTCATATTAATGCAAGTAAGTACTCAAGTAAGCACAATTACATTTATTTATTAATTTAACTAATATTCATACAGAAGAACCTGTGTGTGCAATGACAATAAAGGTTTTCAATTTTCTTCAAAAATGATGACATTTGTAATGGCCAAAATGTATAGTTTAACACATATATTGGAGAGAAAACAACACAAATTGCTTTTCAGACAAACCAATGAAAAGGATAGACCTTTAAAATAAAAATTTGAATTTCATCAACCAGGCTCCTGAGAGCCACTGACCTGCATGTAATATCTCCCGACTATAACACACCTGATTCAAATTACCTGCTCGTTATCAAGCAGCTGAAGCTTGTCAAGGTGTTTGATAACGAGCAGATCATTCATATCAGGTTTGCTTCATGATCACAGTTTGTGTCCACTTTATGAGGACATGAGCTATATACACGCTAATTTCGACTATTTAGTAGTCTGGTGTCCTGAGAAATATTGTATACACTTTGTTTGTAGCATGAACTTGGGAAACTGTCAAAAGGTTGATGTGTGTTCCAACATTTAACCATGTTTAACTGCTGAACACACCATTAGGAGCGTTTATAACAGCAGACATTATAACTTGTGATAGTAGGAAAAGCACAGGTGTTAGGAACGATACTGACAATGCCCCTGCTCTGTTCACGTCGCAGTGAAAGTTAAGTCAAAGCAGCTAAGTTCAGCCTTCAATTGCATTATTCACAGTTGAGCATTTTTCTACTGTGACAAGTCAAAATGTCTGCTGTGAAAAAGGCCTATTTAAAAGTCACATTGAGTGTTTTGGCTTAGCAGTTAATTGAAAACACCTGATCATTGTCAGTGAAGTGTTTTAAGCTGTTGAAAGCTGTGCAGCTGCAGTTCTCCATCCTCCGTGATTCAGTCGGATTACTCTGAATGACAATAACATCAAATCAATGTGAAAGGAGTCGCTCATAGTGACAAACCTACACAGAATTATAAGCTGGATCTGCAGCTGCTCTTGGCTTTATAGTGACTTTTTAACTTATTGTTTAACTCTCCGCTCCTCAACTTAACTCTTTTTGTCCACTGTACTGCACATTTTTGGACTAACAATCATTATGTGAACATAAACATGACTCCAAATTAAATTAAAATGTTGCTCTGAAACTGCGGGATGTGTAAATTAAAAACCTTGCTAACAATTTAGTCGTAACTTGTTTTCATTGCCCACGAGTGGCTAAAGAACGGGTGATGCAGGTTTAAAGTAGAAACAGCTGAATACCGGTATGTGTCGTCTGTCTAATTATCTCAAATACAATCTGAAACGCAGGCTCCAGATTGTATCTCATTTCTTAACCATGATTGATAGGGCCTCGTCAGTGACATACTTTGTAAAGACCCTCAGGAAGAGAGCATTTATCATGAGCAGTCCTTCAGCCTAAGTATCCATTTGCTCTTGATCCCCACAGGTATTCTGTTAGGATTTAAGAGGTGCACTTGTTCTCTCTCACACACGTTGAGAAAATACTTCAATCGTTAGGCGTGATTTAAAATTCATTGGAAATAAAATGATCTTGCACTCCCTGTCCCCCTACACCATTGGCAAGCTTTGTTTTAAATATATTCTCTTATGAGAGCCTATTTCTCCTCTGGGTTTTGCTGCAGACAGTAATCAATACATCAAAGTTAAAATGGAGGAAAAAGTGGAATATTTAATCAGAAGATTCAGTTTTCATTTTAAGTGAGAAAATCAGGTTTGTGACTATTTTCAGTTGGCCCCACATGCTCTGATTACATGATTACCTTCCACTGTGTGGTGATTGTAATCATGAACATTTATACATTGCTAGAATACAGAATTAGATAACCCACTCCTCAGCCTTTATGTTATTTAAAGGACAATGATCTCAGCAAACCTTTATTTTAAGTGGTTTTGAAACACAGCACTCAAAAGAGATGCTCACAAGGTACGTTTCCTGTTATTCTTTAAGAAACTTTGTTTTCACCCTAGAAGGTTTTATAACACCGGGTGCTATGCTGTTTCTCACCTGCAATAAACTGTGTTTTCCAGAGTCATGGCGAGCATTACAGAGCACAGCCAGTGTTGTAACTGAACCACAAGGAGAAGAAAATGGGGAAATTACGTTTGGCTCAACTGTGCTGGCCCTTTTGATTTTTATTGATCAAATTTAGCCAACGGCTTGGAAGAGATGTTTGTAATTATGGCACATGCGGTAAAATGATTAATGTGTTTACTGGACAAAGAACAATTACTTACAGCAAACAGGATTAAGGTGCATCTGGAAAAACCCCACAAACACCTTCATCTGCTTGGCTATACAAGAGGGCCTGTCAGAGAGATCAAGTGAAGAGGTGCAGCTTCTCTCATTGTTGACAGATACAATAACTTGTAGGTGCTGTCTGATTCACCCTGTTGAACTGAACAGCAGATATGAAGTGTGCCATGACAACAGTGGAAGATTCACTTCTAAACAATCACAAAACTTATTATACAAAGAGTCAACAATTTCTCATAGAAATAATATAGAACAGGATTCTCGTTTCTAGCCAGTGAACTTTTATATTGTTAGCTAAATGACTACTGATGTGGTTATTATTACTTACTTTGTAAAGGGGATTTCTGTCACTATACATAGATTCATCAAACCATGAAGATAAGAGGAGGAAAACGTTCCCTTTTTCAGTATATTTGTCTTTTGTGCTCTATATTGCAGCGCAGGAGACAGAATCTTAGTGGCTGACGACTCGAATGATGACTGGTGGAAGGTAGGTTCAAAACCAACTCATAACACCATTATGAATAGTGACAAGTCATCTTAAACATTTTCTTTGTTTATATTATAATTAACCTTCAAAGATTAAAAGTTAACGGAGGCAGTTTTGAACGGTTTACATGAAATGTGGATAATCCACAAAGCACCAAAATGCCCAAATAAGAAGTGGAGCTCTAAATTATAGGAGCGAGGCAACAGGCTGCCTCGAGACACAACTGCACGACAGACACATTGGGTAGACAAAAGGGTGAAAACGTGACTGTACAGAGGCAGCCTGCTACCACCAGACCATGAAGAAACTCATCACGCATTTTAACTCTGCTGCTGTTTTCTACCGGCTGTAGATAAACAGAGACATCAGGTCAGTTTGTTATGGATACTGTTGTTACACATGCACAGTACAATGTTTAGGTACTGAAGGTGAGCGTAGCGTATCCTCTTTATATCTATGAACCAGGTGTATTGGTAGAAAGTAATGTACTGTACTGTGTTTTAAGGATTTTATCTAACCACTGGTTTATTTTCCATATATTTCTTCAGGGGGTTATTGAGGACAGGATCGGTTACTTCCCGGCGGCCTATGTTCATCAGGCTGGGATTGAGGACCAAGTGTTCAGGTGTAACAGGACGTTCATCGGCTGTAAGGAACAAGGACAGATCACCTTAAAGGAGGGACAGGTACTGTACACACCTACTGTATAAACCTTATGATGATGCTGATGATAGGCTGATTATCGACATGTTAAGTGTAAAGTCTTAACATAAATACAGGCTGTAGAGGATGTCCCTTCTAAAATAGTGTTTATTTATATCCTTCATTATCCTGCCCTGTAATTATGGCCTGCTTTATCTTCTGCATCTGCAACTCTCCGTGTTATATTTATTCTATTTTCTTGTTCTGGGTTTTGACATAGTAGTAGATAGTGCTTCACGACAGCAAAATAAAACAAAATGCAAGAATGATAGTAAAAATATGAAAATTATAAATAAACATCTTGCAAAAGGAATACACCAAAATAAGATAATAAATGAATAGCATTGATTATAAGCCAAACACAAATGTTTTATTATGCAGAGGTACATTCTTAAAACTGCCAGATAAATACCCATCAATCAAATGTATAACCGGCTAGATAGCTCAGTTCATATGTATTTTTTTGGGGAAAAAAAACATTTACAAACTGTAACGGTGGGATTGTTGTTAAGGTCAATTGCCTGCCTTTAGAGCCACAACAACACAAACCACATTATTAATTAACGAAACATCAGCAGTCTTGATCACATGAACGTCCTTGTCATTATGGGTTAGGGGAGCCTTCAGGGTGAATATTTAAACTTCCACATTCTACCTGGGTGTAATTCATGATCACACTCCTGCCAATAGAGCTCATCAGATTCACATCATCCAGCAGCTCTTTAGCCATCTTATTACCCTCCTGCAGCCCACGTTGCCCCTTACTCTTCCCTCGCATTCACCTATAACCTGAAAAGCTTGACTGGAGTTTGCTGAAAGGATCCTTCGTCGGAGTAACCATTAGATTATCATGTTGGTATAATGGCTCTACTTAGGTCATGCCCCTTTTTTCCCACAATGCTTCCCAGGACATGTTGGGATTTTAAGTAAAGAACCCCCAGTGGAGATGAAACCGCAGATAAAACGAGTAGTCTGTGACCCGATGCCTTTCTTTTCCGTTGACACAAAACCCAGGGGAAGGTTTTGGAGCGTACTAAAAGCCAGTATGCAGATACAATGTGTTCTAATCTATCAAGAGGCTCATTCAGGGCATCTAATAATTATAGCAATATTATAAACAAGCACAACCACATCATCATCATCTTTAAAAATAGGTTGCGTTTGTAAATTGTCCCTTTGAGCTGGACCATACAGATTGAGTGATATGAGACATAAAAACAGAGATAAGATCAAATGAAAATTGAAGTTTTGTTGATTATGTTTAGACTAGACGACATGTGGGCGCTTTATTGTTCATACATACAAATCTTTATTGACTATTAGATTAGCAAAAGACCATAAAGCATGTAGTTGTAGAAGAGTTCAACATGAAAACTGACAGGTTATCAAAGTAGATGCATGCCTAACCTAAAACATGAGAAACAGCCTAGGAGCCAAAAAAGACAACAGGGCTATCTGTACACTTGTTGCCATAATATGTATTTCTAGTCTTGCCCCAGTGTGTTTTTATTTAGTATGAACTTGGCACTTCCACTTTAAAGTCTATATATATCGACCTCACGTCAGTATCAGATATTGTGTCCCACCATCTGTTACTAACATCGATCAAATGTTTTATTGTATGTTTGACTGCACTGGTTATCTTCAATTTCTATTAAAGTACATTTTCTTTATTTGCCTCAGATCTGTGTGAGCAGTGAGGGCGAACACAGCGGCTTCATCAGAGTGGCGAGTGGAAAGAAGAGAGGCTTCGTGCCCTACGATGTTCTGGAAATCATATGAGACAAGCACTCGGAGACAGAAAGAGAGAGACTGAGACAACCAAGAGGAGGAGGAAACTAAAACTGCCAAATGGCTCAGAGAAACCAGGGAGAGACTTTGCCTCGTCAGACGTTTTGATGTTAAAGTGATACTGGTTTTGTGAATGAAGACTCTGCTTTGTTGTGGGTCAGAGTCTCCGTACCTTCTTCCCTCTAACACAGAGCTAGATGCTAAAGTAGACATTATAGTGTGTTTGCTAAACAGAAGCCCTCTGTTTCACTGGATTTGATTTAATTTATAAAGCTGATTGAAGTGTTTCTGTTCCCCTTAGTTTGATTTTGCCACAAACGGTTTGTCTTTTAAAAATGGAAACTCCCGTCTGGCTGTTTAAGCCAAAGAAAAGGAAACAAACACAAAGCACATCCAATGGCATTCCTCTTACAAATAGTTTAGTTTCTCATGCTTTGACATCATGTTGCCGGCAAAAGTTTAGCTTTTAATCCAAGGATTTTAAGTTTGTAATAAATGGCTGATTATTTTGGATGACAAAATGCCAGATGTCAGAAGGCAATGGAAAATTGTATCACAGTAAACCTACTTCGGAATTTTTTTTTTAACTTGCCATATAACTTCCAAACTACAGTGACAGTCCTAAGGTAGAAGGTGATTCACAACAAAGAGATTTGAGAGTATTTTCAGAGGAATTTGTCACAATCAAAGACTTCAGAAATGCTCAGTGGTCTTTTCAAAATATCGCCCTCATATTCCCCAGATTTCAAATGTCTGACTCATTGCATTTCCTGAATTACTCAATGGTGACGGTTATATGCATTTTTATTTATCGTTAAAATCAGAACCCTTATTTAAAATCTGTGTTCCACTAGAAAACAAACTTGTTATTTACGAATGTTTACCTTTTAAATTGTTTCCATGCTTTGGGATCCATTTGACTGATCTTTTAAGGCTTGTCTTTAATTAAATTATTTCTCTTTTTGGTGATTCTGAGAGGTGTTACATCATAGTAGATATAGTATATCTCTTAAAGGTTGTTCTGCACTAAAACGTGGCTTTATTGAATATCCTGTAAATACTGTACATACAAAATAAAAAAATATTCTTTATCACAACAAACCAAAAGTGGATTCTAATCATTTTGTGGTGTCTTACATGTATGACTTCTTTCTGTACCCAGGAGTTATTACATTGAATTCCCTATAAAAACATAAGCCTAATATTTCACATATTTAAAATAATTTCCATCATGCTTTGAATATCTCTTGTCCATGAATAAGAATCGGTAAAAGGCTCATTTGCTCAAGTGGGCCCAAAAAAATTATGCAACATGCAAATATGTATTTTATGATGTGATCTTTGCCAGTGAAAACAACTGGATTGTGACTCAGTTATTCACAGAGTGCAAAGAACCAAATTCATTTTCACAGCGCGAGAAGCAGTAGACTAGATTATTAAAAATCGTTTAATTTTAACTAATGACTTTCATGCCAGCATTGACGAAAAGCCAACATTGACGAAAAGTCAACCGTGTTAGTCATAGCAATATGTTTTATATTTTTCTTTGTATTGGTTAAGTTCAATTGTGAGTCCACATTTCAAAGAAAAATGTTCACAATTGTATAACAATTCTAATTCCCTCTGCTGCTAAATACTGTGATAAGGCTAAAAGTGATAAAAAAAGAAGTAGATAATTAGAGATTGTTTGGCCACTATATTTAAGCTGTATAGTTGCAGCTCATTGTAAGAGTGTCACAGTGGGCTATGCAGTGAAAACAGAGTATTTGGCTTAGTTTTTTTACTTCATTAAGTAAAATATGTATTAATAACAAACCTTAACTGTAAACTGATGTTTCATTTGATCATGATTTACCCCCATTTGATGTGCCGGACCATCTGACCAGACTATCTGCACGGTCCACCATGAGGGACTGCTTCAGACGTCAGACCTCGGAGGCTTCAGCAGCTCCATTTAGCATCTGCCTGCATGTTTAAATTGTCTCTGGAAGCCTAAGTATAGAAGTGGAGACACTCACAGACACTTAATGACTGCCCATTTTCCTGTAGTGTGTCTGTGTGATGACACACAACCGGCGTCACTGCAGGATACCGACGAGACTCTAGCTCCACCTGTTGGTTTGTTAGAGTAGCAGCAACATCCAGCAACTGGGTTGAACTGACTGAGCTGTATTCACACCGTGTCTCAAATGAGTGGCACACTTTTACCTTGGTCCACCATTCATATTAAGCTCTCTTACAAAAAACAAATCAGAAAATGCTCAACTTAAAGCTGTACTATGTTAATGTTTTGAACAATGGTTTAAATTAATATGTTTGAGTGTAAGAACATGCTGATTGTTTGTTAAAAATTGATTATTATCACACAACGCAGTTTCGCTCGGCTCTACAGAGCTTTATGGCATCACTTTGTTTTGTTTTTTTGCTGCCGTTTTGGTTCACTTTCTCAATTCTTGTGTCATTTTGAGATGCAGCAAAGAACAGATTTCAGTAAAAAAACAAAAATCTGTAGCCTACAATACCTGCTCATCACCAAACACCAGAAAGACACAGGTACAGTCACACAAAATAATGTAGGCTTAATAACTCTACCTATCTATCTATCTATCTATCTAGGGCCGTCCCTCCCTACTTTCCGATCATGCAGACTGCGTGGGGCCTCACCTTGCGGAGGGTGCCTCAACTGAGCCAAAAATGCAGCGCTTATTGGGCGCAATTAGTGTGGCGCGGCACGGTTTCGCCGCTGCTTTTTACCCGTATAGCAATTGGTCCAGATGGACTGTGCTGCCAGAGCAGGGAGTTCAAAGAGTGGCATGGCTGTCGCTCAACAAAAGGGGTTACCAAAGGTACAACATGACAACATTCACATTTCACAGGGGAACTAACCATTTCTTCGATTGTCTTACATAAATGAACAAACATTTATTTCTTTGCAACTGTTGCCGGTTCTTATTTATGTCTTTATTTGTCCAGGGAAGTACTACTATGAGGTGACCTGCCATGACCAGGGTCTATGGGCGTTTCAAGGTAAAACAACAAGAACTTAATGATACCTTTTTTTATGGATGACAACCAGTCTATTTATGCTGTAAGATCTTCTTGTGTTCACAGAAAAAATAAGTGAGGCTGTTGATCTGCACAGATGTAGCTGCCAGAGGAATTGACGTCCACGGAGTTCCGTATGGCGAATATTTCAGATCTGCAAAATAAAACGGACCAGCGGTCATCACAAAATCATAAATGTTTTTATATATTTTTTTTGCTTTTAACTTGCAGAATGGGACTGGCCATTTCCTTGGTTGCTATGGAAAAGGAGAAGGTAGCAGAGATACAGAAATATGCTAATTCATTTGAATTACACATCACTTTTAAAAGAAGTTCAAATTAAATGTTTTCTTCATATGTGCAGGTGTGGTACCACGTTTGTGCGAACAGAGGCAGAGGCTGCAACAACACGCGACTGAAGGAGGACGGAGGTTGCACCATCTGGTACAAAGAGAAAGAGGTGAACAAAGATGCAGAAACAAACTAAATCAAGCTAGGAAAATCTGTAATTTGATATACAACTGATTCAGCAGAGGGCTTTTTAGTGATTTGATAGGAAGCAGATGCAAACATTCAAAGTAAAACGCCTATGAGCAGAAAAGTTTTGCTATCATTTGGAAGCATTGAAAGCTTGAGCACACACTTTTGACCCTTATGACATAATTCCACACTAACCATTGTGGATTCTCTATTCTACTTGTGTCTTTTATTCCCTTTCCTCTCTCCACAGCTCCTGTCAGATATTGAGGAGCATCTGAAGGGCACGATCACACAGTGCGAGCCAGACATCAAAGTACCTTTGGATGACTTTGATGGAAAGGTCACCTATGGTCAGCGTAAGGCTTTGGGACGTATGTTTTAAACTGCTTACAAATTGGTAGTTTTTGTTATCATAATCATTGCATAGATTTGCTGGTAACTTTGCTAAAGATACATCCACTGCAGTTGTGTTGAGCATGACTAACAAACCTGTTGCCCTTGCCTAGGTGGTAACTACAAGGGTCACGTGGATGCTCTGGCACCAACGGTCCTGGAACTGGCTAACATCGAGAAGGAAGCCCAATCTTCCTTCCTCCACCTGGGATACATGCCAAACCAGCTTTTCAGAGCTTTCTGAACACGCCCCAACTAGCACTAAAACTGTACAGATTAAAGAAATGCTCCAACAGGAAACAGAATCTTTATGATACAACGCAGTAGTGTGCAGTTATTTCTCAAGTTGTTTTCCCACCCAGAATTATGAACATAACATAATAAACGTAAAACAAATCTACTATTTAACTCGGAATGTCAAACTTGTCTCTGGCATCTGATACATACACTAATGACAACATAATTTGTTTGATTGTGTTTTATTTTTTGATTGATGTGGTTGAATGAAATATTTAAGTTTATTTATGGAGTAATTGGCTAAAAAGTCAATGTATTGAAGTGTCTGGGTGTATTTTTTGTTAAATAAACTGTAATAGCCTGCTCAGTTTGAGTTCAAAAGCAGGCAAGTATCCCCAACAATTATGAATGTCTCCTCTGTTTATTTGATTTATTGAGTCTGTTAATAATTTCTGATAAATTCATGAGAATATATAATCTTCACAGAGCAATGTTTATTTTCTGTCTGTTGTTACTGGATTGTTTTACAGCTTTGAGTCAGGCCTCCTCCACAAAGATTGAACAGGCATTTTTAAAACTAAGCACCGTTTCTTGGCTCACCAATGAGCTCACCACTCAGCAGCCTTATTAGGAAGTAGAAAACAAAAGAATAAAGAAAGATGTAGAGTTAGACCTAGTAGGACGCTACTTCTACAATATGAGGTTCTGACCTTTGCTGGTAGAACATTTGAGTATCTGGACCTCTTTGAATTATTATTGAATACCCTTGAATTATTGTTTAAAGAATTTAAGATTGTGACATTTAAAAGGGCAGTAGTATTACCACCGGAAATGAGTTACTTAAACTTACATAGAAATGTCGTGATTTAAAGCATATAAAAGTGCTGCAAGATCAAACAATGTGTGAGAAAAAAAAGAAATAACGAATGTATTACATTGATTGTGTTAATATGTAATCATTTAATTGTGCACATTGACAAATCCCGTTTTGATCGCTGATGGTGACACTTTTATTTTGAAATTTCCGCTCAGATCTTCGTTCTTCGCTTCCTGTGAAAGCTGTGCATCGACTGTTCTACATTTAAGAGGTTTTTGGCTGGATTTCATATAAGAAGACACCTTTTGGGACAACTTACGTGATGTTAACAAGGAAGGATAAAGTCTCCGAGAGTGTTCAGCCTACCTTTGGTACGTGTACAACCATTTGTTTCGCTGTTATTCGATCATGGCGGTTCGGTTGTGATTAACGTCGTCACAATGAAAGCATGGCGGCTGGAACTGTCTTCCTCGAGTCCGACGTGTTGGCCACAATTTGGTTGAGATGTAATCGTGTATGAGATCATATAAACAATGCAAGTCGAAAATGTGAGTCGCGTGTTCTTAGTCGAACCTATTTAAGTTGTATCTGCTTTGTCGATGTACAGAAGTAGGTTTTTTGTAACGTCAAAAAGCTTCATAGCTATCAACATTACAGTAAACCTATGCAGTAGTGGTAAGAAACTAAGTTCTAAACTAAAGTACTGAACTTAAGTACTTCTACTCCAGTACAATTCAGAGGTAAATAGTGTACTTTTGCTCCACATCATTTGTGTAATACCTTCATTAAATTTGCAGATGTAGATTAATGATACAAACTTAAATAGGACTTTAGTTGCACCAGGGTTAAATTAATAAATTAAGTATACAACTAGAAAATGCATTTCCTGCTTAAATGATTGGGAATGCTGTAAACTGTATACATTTGTTGCTGAATTTAGCTGAAAATGCAGGAAAAGCTGAATATTTTATTAGTTGAATGTTCTCTGTAGCTGCTTTTTAGCTACAAAAACCAAGTAAGTGTGTTGCTGAATTTAGCGGAGAAATGCAGACAAGTGAAATGATTTGAATCAAAATTGTTACAGCTCAAATGCATTGCAATCATGGATGTATAATAAGCAGGGGTGCACATAACTGGTACGCAGGTACGCATGCGCGGCAACAATCTGAAATGCGTACAGGTGTTGTGCCAAATTATGCACCCCCGTCATGAAATGCCCCCCTTAAAAATATGCTGACAAAGACTATGTAACATTTGTAAACATATATTTTGATTATTATATGACAAATATGTAAAATTAAACAATACATTTTAAAGCACGTGTATAGAGACAGAACGTAACAATAATAACAACAAAAAAAGATTTAAAAAAAAAAACTGAAAAGGAAGTAACGAATGAATTTCGACACCACTACCATCAAATACTGAGCGAAAAGTTTAACCACAAGAATCAAGACTATATGCATACTTGCCAACCCTCCCGATTTTCGCGGGAGACTCCCGATTTCACTGCCCTCTCCCGGGGTCATATTTCTCCCGCATTTCTCCCGATTTCTGACCAAATCAGATTTACTCACGACTGTTTCCACTAGGGATGCTCCGATCGCCAATTTTGGGGCCGATCGCCGGAATCAGTATCTGCCGATACCGATCGCCGATCCGATCGAGTGGGCGGGGCCTAAATGGAAGATTTAAACATCACTTTAAATCTTCCATTTAAAGTGATGTTTAAAACTCCACAAACAACAATCAACTTAATTATTACATTCAAATTATGTATATTATTCAAGTTTACATTCACTTTGGATAATACCACGGGAGAAATTAGCAAGCGCTCTCTTTTCCTCTCTCTCCCTCTCTCTCTCCCCCTCTCTCCCCCTCTCTCTCCCCCTCTCTCCCTCTCCTGACAGCCCGTCAGTATCATCTCATGCAGCTCGCTGATCCAGTAATGTGTGAGGCCGACAGTGAAGAATAAACATATTTATAACTACTGTAGTTTAGCTTGTTCCAGAGGTAGATAAAATAGCTAAGTGTGTTAGGTCTAACTCTTGTGTGTTTCGCTCCGCTCACACCGCCCATCACAGCGGGTGGAGCTGCAGGATTTCTGCTTCACACACACGTTGCATACCGCTATTTTACTGTCTTTTTCGGACACCTTAAAATAATGCCAGACCGGTGAAGCCATTTTGGCGAGCTTGTTTTGCCGCGTACAGAGAAAAGTGTCATGTATTTTACGTCATGCGATCGGCCCTCGCGATCGGCATGTTTAGAGAGCACCGATCGATCGGTAGAGAGTGAGTATCGGCAGATCTCGATCGGTGACCGATCGATCGGAGCATCCCTAGTTTCCACTGAGGACTTTAATACAGCTACACCATTCCATGGTAGCGCATCTCTTTAGTAGCGCGCGCAACTGAAAGTCTGAGAGGGTGTTCAGCATGGTGAGGAAGATAGTCACAGAACAAGAATGGACAACTCTACCCTCTGCTCACTCCTTTCCTGGTCCTCATCAAGGATGGTGCTACAGGCAGCAAGGCATTGGACTTACAACTACAAGAATGTGTAGATGTTCTTTTCATCTTTAAAAGTCAGTTTCCCCGCTGCGAGGCTCCGGTGCTAACAGTTCTAACAGCTCCGGCAATCCACTAGCAACCTATTGTCGCCCAATAATTGCTGCTAGTATTTCTGCTGTATAAACTGATAAGTTATGTGACACTCGTTTTGAGATTGATATTTTGAATTCTGGTGTATATACACGCCTATCCCCACGCATTCTTGCTTCTTAGATCCATCTGTATACAGTTTTAGGTAATTGCAATTTTTTAATTCCCACTTAATTTATTTGCCACTCTTTTTTCCTTTCTATGACACTCATATCTATGTTAGCTTCTGGGAAAAGCCATGGGGGAACACTGCTAAATGGGCTTGCTTTGGCAAACGTTATGGTCTCCACTCCATATGCCCTCGTTCTCTCCTTACTTGTCCAGCCAAACCCATGCCCCTGGAACTTTGTATATTCCCAGCAATCCTGTAGTATTCTGTTTGTGATATTTTCCTCTCCACTTCCTTGTAGCCTGACCCAGTAGGCCTATGACAGAGCAAGTTTCTCTCTTCTAAAGAATCCACAAATGTGTTTAATCGTTATTGTCATATATGTACTAAGTAAATACATTTGTTCCTGCTCAAGATTAGATTCAACTGTATTGTTATTGCACAGATTACAGGTACTGAGACAACGAAATGCAGTTTAGCTTCTAACCAGGAGTGCAAAAAGCAGTAAAGTGAAAAGTAATGTACACAATCCACTAGGGCTGTGCAATTAATCATATTTTAATCGCAATTACGATTTTGGCCTGCCACAATTACGAAAACAACATAATCGAATAAAACAATTATTTTGCTTTGCTAGGTTGTGACAGTGCACTGCAACATATTTGATCTAATTTATTTTGGTCTAATTTATTTGTATTTATCATATTTATATATGATTAGTAGCTTTTGGAAGTGCGTTCCAAAATATGTGTTGATCTTGTTTATTGGTATTTATTATTTTGATATTATTTATTTAAAGTTTTTCAGTTGAATTATGCGTTCAGGGTAATCAACAGTTATAAGATACTGTTCAAATTATTATTTGTATTTGTTTTAAAGTTCAATAAATGGATGTTTTCAAAGTCAATGAATAATCGTATTTAATAATCGTGATATCAATTATTGACCAAAATAATCGTGATTATGATTTTTGCCATAATCGCACAGCCCTACAATCTACAGAATAAAATATAGAATTAATTGAATGATGAAAAAACAGTGAGGGGTATGAATACACTAGATATACACAGTAGCCTATGAGCAGTATGAACAGTGTGTACTGTATGAATATGCTAAGATATATAAAATATGACAACGGTAAGCAGTGCAAGTATTGTATAAAATATATAGATAGTAATTTCATGATGATAAACATTGTGGAACAATGATGAAAAATGTGAATGGAAGTGGCGACGTAAAACTGACACAAAACAACACACTTTTGCCGAGCCAATGGAGAGTTTCATCACCAGCACGGGGTAAAAACCACCAATGAGCGCTCGGCTCGATATACCAGCGAGTCGTTTCCCATCAAGCATTTAGCTTCCGCAGCCCGTGGAGAGAAACTGCGCCGCCGCGCCTCGCTCTCAAGTTTGCGGGCGTCTTTGTCCCGCGAGATTTCAACGTCTCATGTAGGCGAGTCTCCAGAGCAAGTCGGACAAAATGACTAACCATCATGCAACGCACAAGCAAGACGTTGATCGCAATTGCGCAGGTCTGCGTCGGTCTCGCTCGTCTCAAACAAGCCTACTGTCACTACCCGATTTGCAGCCCTGCCCTATCTGCAGTGCGCATGTGCCATGGATGTATAATAAGAACTGGATACAGCGTGGGAGGCGGGGCATCATTCATTCCTATGAGAGTTGCTCATTCGCGCATGATGGTAAAATGGCCCAACTTTTGAGAGAGCGAAACGTCACAGATTACCCGGCATGCCTGAGAAGTACCCGTATGTGCGCTCATAGCGCATGCGCAACTTTAACCATGCCCCCCACAATGCTCGTTCACATCAAGCACGTCAATTTGCGTACACGTAACAGCACCGCACGTTCATGACAGCATGGTAATAGTTGTTATTATGATAGATTTGATATTAATGAGGCGGCAGTTAGCAGCTAGCGGTTAGCTAGTAATTATGCTAATTTACACATCAATCGTTATGTACTTTTATATTACGCTGTAACAGGATCTAGTGATAACCAAGCAACAGAGCTTCATTTAGCATGAAATAATTATTGCACTATATATATATATATATATATATATATATATATATATATATATATATATATATATATATATATATATATACATATATATATACAGTGCAATAAGCTTCTTAGTGCAATAAGAAGCTACTGTACAGGGACGTTAATCTACGTCAGTAATATTAACTTTATTTAATACAACATCTATGGTACAAGATTTAATCATACAGCCCATGTAGTATAATATTTTACAAATGATGAATGACAGCAAACATGTGCAATATATCCATTATTACAGCTCCGTGGGCTGGCAGTAAGGCGATATGGGTCTGTTCTTATTGTGCATCCATGGGTAAAGATAAACGCATGTAGTGCTGAACACGTAACATGAAAGCGCCGGGTGGCGCGGTCCCGTGGGTTAGATGCGCGTTCATAATGCAGAGGGAAATAACTCACAGAATAACGTTATTAGCAAATTTTTACAACTTGAGGAACGAATGTTTTTAATAAGGGCTATACAAGTGTTCATACTGGGTAGTTTATTTAGTTAAAAAAAAATTATCGAACGATTT